TTTACAACCAAAGGTATACTTAAATAATGTCATCAAGGAGATGCGGGGCGCCTACCCAGTCCAATGTCCTGGGCTCAGAGGCAGCCATAATCATGCACATAAACTGTTTACCAGTCCTTTTGTCAATGGGATAAATAGTAGTGGGTGTGAACCTTCTGTTACTTTCCACAAACTCACAGAGCTGTTGATACACCTGTGGGTATTCATGACGTAGAAAGACCCCTCGAATTCTTAACTCTCGCTGTATATTGATAAAACAGATTTCCCTGGCCTTTCTGCCTTCCTCTCCGTCTTTGTCAATATCTGCTGTTCCTGGGGGTGGAGTCAGTATGAGTGTTTCCATGTCACTTTCTTTCTTGTGAACCTTTCGCTCAGGGCTAAAAGAAGCCAGAGCAACCTTTGCATATTTTCTGACAGTTGGAGCATGGTTCCTTGGTGATGGCCCATCAGCCAATTGGTCACCAACAGCTATTGATACATTCAAGATGAAGCATTCATTTGGGTCATACTCTTTACCAGCTTGCTGCAGCTCCTTACAGTACTCCCCTAGGTTGTCCTTAAAGCTATCAAGCTCTCGAAGGGACAGATATGTAGGGGACATAAGTAGAGTATCCAGGCCATACTGCAGGAAATTACTAGATGATGCCGGGTTCGGAAAGCCAAGGAAGAGAACCCCTCTACCTCGAGAAAGGTAGCCAACTTTGGCAATCCGGGAGAAGGCTTTGTGGACTTCAACAGTTTCACGGCAGTGTTTGATGATGTGACGGCATGTGCTTCCAATTCTTCCATACAGGCAGCTTTCTTTATGAATGTCCCAGTCCTCTCTGCGACAGTTTCGAGAGCAGTAGTAGGTATAGCAGCTGTGGCAGGATTTAAAATACAAGCAAGCATTGAAGAGGGTTTCTGTCCTCCGACATCTGTTGTTTGAGCACATCATTGTATCATCCTCATCTGGGCTCTGATCTGGGGAGCACTCATCTGCACTCTTCATTGCATCACTGGCCCCATCCATCTCCTGAAAATGATCAGGATTTATTCTTATTGAGGTTGGCTGCTTGTCAAGAGGAGCTGGTTCCTCTGTACCTGCCTTTGAACCTTTTCTGGACAGAGATACTGCTTCTTCCTCATCAATTAACTTTTTAAGTTGATCCAAAATGTCCTCGCTTGCCCTTCTACTAGGTGGCTTGTAATCAGTCACAAGATCTGCCAGAAGTTCATCAAGTTGTTCTAGGCTTTGCTGTAGTGAGGCATTGTCATGTGTCTTCTCTTTGGTTGAGCTTTCAAAGTCACAGTGAGACAGTTCTGGACCCTTGGTGCTTCTGGAGTCAAGAATGTCCCAACTAGCGGACCTACCTTCAGCCTTATTAAGGTTCCCTGTGCGAATGTCATTATCAGTGATGGTTATTTCTGGAGTGACAAACCAGAGTTTACTGGTACTGCTCTTTGAAATCTCTGTTGGGCTTTTGTCAACAAGTGAGTTATCAGACATTGATAAGGCTGCATAGCGTCTAGGTGAACTGGAGAGATTAACTACCACTGGTTGAGGTTTGTCACCTGTGGCTTCTGCAGGCTTCCTGGAGTCAAGAAGATCATCATAGCTCTGACCCCGCTGCACAGGAAGAGGTTGTTCTTTCTCTACATGATAGTTAAGAATATTATCCCAGGACCTTGAGTAAGATTTAGAATCGGTGCCAATTCTTTGAGTTTCTATACATGGGTTGGTATACCAAGGAGTTAACACAGGCTCTTGCCGAACTCTGGTTGGAGTCACTTGAGATATGTAAGAGGCAGGATTGGTGGAATAACCAGATGCATCTGAACCATACCAATCATCAGTTTGAGACTGGATAACTCTAGCATGTCTTCGGCCCTCTGTATAATATGCCCTTGCTGGGATATGGTGCTCAGGTGGCATTGCATACATGTCACTGGAATAATAAAACCTTGGTGGAGCAGTCTGGATTTGATAAGACCTTGGATCATCCCCGTAAAATATTCTAGTTGGAGGTGTCTGTATGATGTACGGCCCTGGTTCATTTGCTGTATAGGGTTTGGGATATCGTGTCTTCACAGAGTATGGATAGGACTCCATCTCAGGATAATATGGTCTTGTAGCTACAGCATGCAAAGTTCGAGTCCTTGGATCTTGCACATATTGCACTTTTGGGGTATATGTTTGTCCTGGTGTGTAACGTTCGTCATGGAAGTAAGAACTTGGTTGAGGAGGAACAGTAGTAACATATCTCCCTGGGTTGTCTGCATAAAAGAACTTGGTTGGCACATTAGGACTGGAATGAGCTCTTCTTTCCCTTCCATAGTAATCACTTGATGAGGGCATTCTTTGTGAGTGAATGTCCATGGGTTGTAAGTAACTATTTGGCAAGCTGCGGGAATATGGATAGGTTTGCTTCTCTGTACCTAATGAGTCAGTGGGAGTTGGTGTTCTAGAATAGGAGAAATGGCGGGGTACAGTGAGACTCCTACTCGCCCCACTGTTGTGCCTCTGCCATAGTATGTCCACTTGAGATGTACACTGTTTCGGTCCTGAATGATGTAATGCTGCGTCATCAGGTTTGATGTCCACCCGGCACCTGACATGAGGACTAGTTGCTGGTTTATCTAGGACTTCATCCTCAGAATTATCAGCAGCAAAGTGAGGTGAATATCTACTGCTGTCACCCATTTGAGGCTGTAACTTAATGGGATGTACTTCATGCATATGGGCCCTACTTGCAGCATATGATGATTCCCTACGTGGGGATACTTCTGGTCTCCAGCGAGAGTCTCTTGCAGATCTTTGGGATTCTCTACCCTTTCTCCCTGAAGATGAGCACCCTTCAAAAGACATAGGAGTGAGACTGGTCTGGACCCGGGGGGCACTTTTTGACCTTGTCCTTCTTTTTTGTTCAGGGACAACTAACTCACTGGCTATATCAGCCGCCATTGGTTGAGAAGTTAACCTATGGCTAAAAATGTCTGGAGCAGAAAAGCGGTATCTCTGTTGCTGGCCTAAAGCATTCCAGGCAACATCTTGATTGGCTGCATGCTTATCAGCCTTCCTGTATGGGGACTCCATTGAATATTTGTTTGATTTTGGGAAATCCAATGACTTACAGTCAAAGGTATGGCAGTGCCTTTTATTGATGTTACCCTTACTGTCCTCCAGTGTGCTGAAATCTATAGCATCACATTGTAAGGACTCGAAGTGTGAAGAAATGGGAATCACTTTTATATCTCGATGCACAGTTGATAGCAGTATGTCAGGTGGGTCTGTGCGTGTCATCTTAAAGGGAATCCTCTAGTTATCTCCATCAAGTTGCTGTAATGTTGATTTCACCTGGAGAGAAAACAAAGAATTTCTGTCAGTAACATTTGTGCAGACAATAAAAAAGTACTACACCAACTATGAAATATTAAACAAAATTGACAATATGTTCAAAAAGATTACATCATATAAATATTGCAAATTTAAGCTTTCAAGATGAGACATTTGAGGAGATTTGTCCATAGTAGTTAATTTTGGTGTTTTAATTCAGATGGTGAAGAAGGGGTGGAAAGCATTTTTTTCATTGTCCCAGTGGCTTACCATCCCTAAATTATGCTGCTATAGGCATAGACTGCTGGGGGAACTCCACTTCTCTCATATGACTTACTTTGTGTTTCCCTATAATGTTTTGTTTGCCATGTCACTCTCTCTCTCTCTCTCTCTCTATCTATCTATCTCTAAAATGACCCTCAGCAAGAGTGTCAGTGGCTATCAAAATTGGAGAGATGTATGTATATAAGAGTCTATACAGAAGACAATGACAGACAGATATGAAGGGAGCCCCAATGACAATTGTAATGATAGCAGTGGTATTGCCAGCAATGAATAAGCATATTGTATAGTGTATAGCTAAGCAATGTAGTTGTATATCATAATCCAGGATCAGATGCCACCACAATCCACAATCAAAATCTCGATCCACAATGTGGCCACAGCTGCGACCTTGTATTTGCAATGATAAAGCACAAATACTCCACGGGAGAAGTCAAGTCAGTAACATGTAGTTCTGAGACATTAATGTGATGAAGAGGGAGAAGAGGAAAGAGAGCTATCATCTTGACAAGACTACAATCAAGCACCGAAAAACACTTCTGAAGGGAAATATATCTCTTTCGTTAGAAATGGGAGCTCTGTGATCTATTTTCACTTAAAATTGAACAAAGCATTCAGAGCTTCTTCAAAAAAAATTGATAATATTCCTGGGACTACTAAGGGTATTGAAAGAATTGAAACTATTCTGAGATCCATCTTATATTTGTCACTTCAAGTTTAGAATAAATTATTATTTGGACTTTCTGCTTTCATCAATTGTGGCAGCAGCATCAAAAGTATGACCCCCTATAAATACGAGTCTAAATTTGTATTACAGCAGCCAAC